GATGCTAACGCATACTTATTTATCATATTTCGAGATGTAGGCTCAATAGACTATTGTAGATAAATACATTGTGGTTTAGTCGCAATTAGTAGTGGACCATTTCCGTTTTTAGTTTATTCCAAGTTAGTCTCCTATATTAATGATCACCAACAAACAACATTGCATTTGGTTGTGTGATATACAAAATAGAATCATGATATATATAATATATATAAAAAATTGAAATGAAAGATACTGTTGAGAGAGACTTGAGTGCTTTACTAATACGATGTCACGAATCGATGTTGAAATGAATTAAGAATGGCACTGTCATCACTAAAGTCTGCCGTAACAAAACATAAGTTATTTGAACATTTCCCTCAAAAAACTCCGACATTTATACCGAAATTATATGTCGTACACCTTCCAACTTTTTTATGTCATTAAAATATGACTCAAGAATTATACATATGTAGTTAGGAGTAGCAAGCTCTCTATTAAATACTTAGGCTATAGTAAGAAATATAATTAAACAATATTTTTTATTTTTGTATGCTTTTCTAATATAATCTGTAGTGCTGTGAACCCAAGAAATATTCGCTTAAAAAGTTTTGATAGAAGTGCTATAAGACTTATGGGTTTATATGTTGTCTCTAGAGTTAAATTTCTTCCTGGTTAAGAAATCATTACAATTTGAGATATTATGCAATGAGATGGAAAAAACCCAAGTTGAGCTATGACCACTCTTTAAGTTAAGGGTGGTTATGTGATAATTTAAAAATATTAGTTATGGGATTTGACTAGAAAATGCTGATTAAATTATTTTATTATATGTCGAAATAATATATATTTCTATATATAGAGATCATAGTTATTATATGTAAGCATATTTATTTTTTTCGTTATTTCTACCCTAATAGAAATAACCGGTGAAACTCTTCTTCAGAGTTTGTATATTACTTAAGACCCTCATAAAGAATTATGCGTATTTTGTGTACGAGCTAACTTCCGTATGTATACGTTTATCCTACTTTTCATCTCTTCCAGTAATGCAGTTATAAGATGTCTTTTAGCTGCGTCGTAATTAGATGTAATTGTTGTTTATTTTTTTTTTTTTGCCACATCCGTCTTAGGTGCGGTTGTTTTCGAGTTGTGAAGTGAAGTGCTCTTCCCGACAAATGAGATCACATCTACGTGACTGTTAATATTTTGACGAAATTTAAGTCAATTGGTACTCTAATTGGTTTATTTATAGCTTCTTTGAAAGAATTTATAATATCTGGAGAGAGACCGGATAATAGTTTGTAAATCGAAATCGTAGATTTCAGCTCTCTTATCTGTATATTTTATTATTCCAAATCCGAATAAGTTTAGAAGTTTTTGGGGACATCTTGAATGGTCTTCTGTTGCTACAAATATATTTTAGATGTAACATTACTATTTACGAATTAAACAAACTGGGCTTTGGTTATAATTAACCTGGCAAAACATTATGACATACAGAACTAAAGACGTTGTCGTCTTCAATGCATTTGATACATATTGAAGTTTCTTATATGTGGGGCTTGGAATATTGTTCTAAAGCATGAATGTTATTTATTGACTTCATTAGTATTCATGTTTATACATAGAGATTATCTTCTGTATGATTCGTTAAGTAAAAAATTTTAAACTCAGGAAATATTGATTGGCAATGATAATTTGATGACTTTGCAATACTTTTTGGTATGAAGTTATCTATAGGTAACTTAATTATGCATTGATGAACATTACCAATATGTAATTAGTTGGTATTTATGACACAACATATTTATTTATATAAACAGATCACAAACAACGATCTCATGACCAGGTTCTCATCAACGATATTGCAAGATGAATTGCAGTTCTTTAAAAATACTGCAATATAGGAGCCCACGTAGATGATTTGCAAATTCTTTTTAATAGTCATTTTTGAAGTTGTGGGTGATTGGAGAAGAGAAAAACTATGATACATTTTCTCTGTAATTGTTTCTATGATAACTTAAAGTAATATGTTTTTAGGGAAGCATTTTTTTGACATATTTGTCGGACTGCTCGTCGGTAAGAACGAAATAATTGCTAAACTATATAAATTTTGAAGTTTACGAAGAGGAATGTGATTTTAAAATGGCGATTAATAGTTAAAATGGCGATTTAGTTGATTTTGTGATTAGAAAAATATCAATATTTTTACTTTAAGCTGTTTCTTAATCCACTCAACTTAAATATATAAATATAGCATCATATTAAATTGTAATTAATTCAGTGCTTAATTTAGTTAAGAAGAGTTTTATAAACCGAATTATGTTTCCACCTTCACCCTCATCTGAAATTGCAACACATTTTAACATAACATTTCTTTTTCGAATTTCACACTATGTATACCTATCAGCCTCTGTAAGCGCCCATGCGATTAAGCCGTAGCAAAATACTGTGTAATGTACACTATTTTAAATAGAGAGGTCCCACTTCTTGGATACCACTCATGATTTCAGACGACTGAAAATTAAAAAGTACTGGTAAAAGTACTGGTACTGGTTTACTGGTAAATTTCCTATATAATGTTATTTGTTCATAATCAGACTAGAAATTTATAAAAACTTTTTATAAAAACAATGAATCTACAGAGCTAAAAATTTGAAACATTTGGTTCAAAAACTAATGGTCATGATTCAACGAACCCAATCTGTTAAATATGCAAATATAAAGATATTATAAATCAAAAACTAAAAGATAATCGAGAACGACGTTCTCAAGAAATGATATATCCTTATACCAAATATTCACCAAATATTCTTGATAAAGATTTAACACTTAAAGTATCTAAATTACGATTTATTAAGTAGAGATTTTACGGTTTAGGGTTAAGAGCGACTTTAAACAGATTCATCATATCCAGTGGCGTCGCTAGGCGTCAGCGATGTCGGCGACGGCCTCGCGCCCTCAGGGGCCTCGCAAAAAGTTACCGACTGTGGATTCTAAGCACTTAATGTGGCATTAACCACATTTGAAGTATTTCCGAATGTTTATATAGTAACCAGATTCACGTTCACAGTTCCAGTCAGTATAGCTTCTACGGAAAGATGCTACTCAAAGTTAAAAGACGTGATTAAGACGTACTAGAATAGTATGAAGATCCAAGAGAGACTATCTCCATTGGAAATTCTATAAACTGAAGCAAAAATAGCAGATGGCGCAAATTATGATATAATTTTAAAAAAAATTGAGTGAGACTAAAAGTAGGAAAATTCATTTATTTTAATTTGATTAGCAATAAAACTTTAAACAATGTAACTTGAAAGTTTACAACTGGGTTATAAAGGGGGCCTCGCAATTCTGTGTCGCCGACGTGCAGAGTTGGTCTAGCTCCGCCACTGATCACATCAAAACTTTTTTATCTTGACCGATAACATTACTTTCTGGTTAATTAGGTTAGTGAATAAGCAAATTTACTCCGATTTTAATTAAATTATAATTAAACCATATTAGAAAAGACATGCAGTTATTGTCAAAGTTTCTTTAAACTTTCTTCACGATGAAAAACTGATAATTATGGCCACAGGTCCACCCAAAAATGTTCAGCTACAATTCAGGTAATAGTGGTTACACATCTTACTTACTCTTAATTTCAAAATAACATTCGCTGACGAGTCGTCTCAAATTGAAAGAGATTTAACCTTATAAACTGACGGCCTTAAGTTGGTTGAAAAGATGGTTCCTTGAAGACTTTTGAACGAACAAATAGGAAAATCTGCCTGATCATTGTAGCATTTGTGAGACGGAAATAGTCAGTAATAATGTTTTAAAGTTGTCGTACATTTTTACATTTTCGATTGCTATGTATTTCTGAACTTACCAATTAATGTGCCTTAGGAATTTATTCGAAACATCTGAACGGTCCAGGTATACCTCTGGATCGTTCCTCGACTACTCGTGTAACGAACTCGGTAGTCGGGTAACATGGTAAGCACCATAAAGCGCCAACAACAAAATACATATGCTCAAAATACATTTTGTTGTTCCATTTCGCACTGTTACTACGTTACTACGTTACTAGGTTACTCAGTTATTAAGCTCATTACAGGAGTTCGTGAATATCCCTATTAATTTTTTCATTTACCTATTTTTATTTTTGCGATTATACTTATAATTAATACTACTTATATAAGTACATAATATGTGAAGTTGATGTAGCGGTATTTATTGTAACGGTATTTTAGGGTAGAACCTATATTTATAAAATCACTTTTCAGGACCTGTAACTTCTAAGCTTTTAAAAGTTTATAATAAAGTATTTAAGCTCCTCTGATTTATAGTAAGTTTCTATAAATATTGTTTTTATATTATAGCAAATTATTATAGGCAACTGCCTTGAAATATTTAATATTTGTATAAAATACAAATTTAATAGAGGAACTAGAACATATTAATATTCCTAAAATAATATGTATCTTTTTATATAATATTATATGTATGTTCTAAATGTAACATTATGATTGACATTTTTTATTTTAGCTTTATTCTTACTATAATCTCATAAAGCTTTTGAAAGCTTTTGAAAGCTCTATGAGGTTAGTCTAACGCCATCGCAAACTTTCCCAGTTACTAAAAATAGTCACTGTGTACACAGAGTAGTCACAATCAACCAATATACCTAAAAATAAACATAGGATACGCTGAAAGCTTTTGTGGTGTGCGCAAGCTTTTTAGCATTTTGCCAAAAGCGTAGTTGCCGAAGTGTAGAATTCGCCTTAGCAAAACTGCAAATACAAGGAACTGAATAATGCCTTGATTGTGCTATGTTTGCTGCAGACGATGTATGTATACTGCTCATCCCAGGATTTTCTTATTCTGTTATGGCGCACCGGTTGTCCAGTATAAACAAATGCGAAGCTTTTGAAAGAGCGCGTGCAGTAAGCTTATTTTGCACGAATGCACGTTCAGACTTTCATCCCTTGTTGCTGCATTTTCTGGGTTTAGTTTTGTGTAGGACTTTTTGAGCGATTACACCACCAAATAGATACTTTTTCCAGATATACTCGGAAAATGGCAATATTTCGGCATTTCATTCTTGAAGTGTGAAGATGGCAGTAAACTTCGCGGCAAACTGTCAAACGCTAGCAACTTAAATCGATGTGAAGTAAATTTGACTATACACAAAACCAGTGCAAGAAAAAAAGCTGACAGGGGTTTCGAAGAATTTCGGAGAACAAAAGAAAATCACGAAAAACAGGATACAGCTGCAGCGGAGACAGTGAAAAGTTTTATGTTTGTAAATCAAGTGCAAAAATAATTAAAAAAGAAAGTAAATAAATATAATATGATTTGCAAAAATTCTCTTGTGTTATATATAAAAAGAATCAATTAAAACTTCAATGAAATTAAATGAAAGAGAAGAAGTAAATTGAAGATTTTGTGTGACATTAAACAGTGAACAATACAGAAAACTTTACATTTATAGTTTATCAATATCTGCACATTTAACACATCACCCGCCCAGAAACCGACCGCTCACCCACCTGCGAAAAAAACATACATATTTTAAATCATACAAGCGGAATAAGTGAATTATGCGTAGTCGTACCGAATTGGTAACAACCACTTTTGTTGATTCTGAAGAAGAATTTAGTGAAGATGATGACTCTGAGGAAGATTGGCGTCCAACAGCATCTTCGGCAAATAAGAATGGCAGGAAAGCAAAACATGCTCGTGGTGGTGGAGCTGCTGGTGGTGGTAGTGGTGCTGGTGGCACTGGTGGTGGCCGCGCAAAACGCGGAAGGAAACGTAAGGGTGCAACAGCAGCAGCTAGGCGAGCGGCCGCAAAACGTAAGCCCACCTACGCGGAAAGTGATGAAGACAATGATGATGAACCTAGTGATGATAATCCTAATCAATTTGATGATCATGAAGTTGCACGGAGTTCAGTAAATAAAAAGATAACACCTGCTACAGCACCAGCTGTTGCAGATACAACAATTGCGGCATCAGCAACAACAAGTGCAACACAAAAGAAACAGTTGCCGGAAGTCAAGGCTATTGAACAAACATTTGCTGATACAACCGCTGAGGACACATTGGAACTATTACTATATAAACGGGACTTAATTGGTGATTACTCGCGGAATGGGCGCTTGTGCTTATGGCGCCGAGATGATAATAATCTCTTGCAAAAATACATACGTGTCAAAACTATACCGAATGATTTTCTTTTCACATCAAGTTCAGTGGTAAGTTTTCAATTAATAAAATTTAATTTTAAGTGATAATCCGGAAAATAAGTTTTCGAAATTAAGTTTAAAATTTGCAATACAACAATTTAATTGAGTGTTTCACACTGCGCATCACAATATACATTTTGTTTTTGTAGGAATTACGGAAAGCGCGCAACATATTAATTTACAAATTTTTTAGCAAGCTTTAACAGAACCATACTTGGCATAATGAAAGTCTACCCGGATAAACTAATTATTTAGAATAATTATAATTAGCACAAAGTCACATTATAATTCTAAAGCGACACTGAATTTATAAAACATTGAGTCATAAAAAGTACAAAATATAAATTAAAAGTGTTAGGCGAGAATAAGGGTGTCATCATTTTCAGATAGTGACGATCCAGGGAAATGAATAAGCCTTTGAACTCACCAGGACTTAAAGGACCTTCCATAGGAATGATAGTGTCTTAACCTCATTTCGATATAAGCAGAGAGATATAGAGGGTAGCATTTGCATTCCAAGGAAGACAGCAAACGATAGTTCAGTGAAAAAAGGACCCTCAATAGGAATGATAAGCTCTGAACCTTATTACGATATAGGCAGAAGTATCTAAAAGGTAGTTTTAATAAAACAAAGAAAATAAAAAAGTCTGGAAGTTTTGTAACGCTTTTGGATTTAAGATAATTAAAATTGCTATTAGACAACTTAATCAATAAAAGATGTGAATTCCGCATTGACATATCAAAGCATAAACTAGATTTAATATATGGCAAACTTGCTGGTCTCTGCAGGCTCATGTAAATGAACATGCAAAAACAACATAGATATCGCATCTATTTGTAGATTCTGAGATGGAGTTACTTATGTATTGATATAGAATAGATAAAAGTGCTTGGAATAAAAATTTATACCTGATAATGAATAATAGCTAAAGTTTCAGTTGAAATACTTTAATAAAAGTATAATGGCACTGGAGAAGGTTTTTAGAGTTGAATTATATTAATAAAGAGAGTATAACTAACGCTTACTTCAATCAGTTCTCCCAGTAAATATTACAGGCTATTAATAATAAGTATAATTAGCACTGAAACTGGTAAAACCGGTTCTAATATTCCTTATGCAAATTCTAATTAAAAAGCACTTGAACTGGTTTCCGATTTTGATATTCTTTAATCCATCTCTCTACCGATCTCAATAGTGAAACAAACCTACTACTTAGAAACTCTCTATACTATCAACACTTGAAAAATAGTAACTAGTACTGTCGAGCTTGGTAATAAAGCCATTTATTGTCAATTACCTACATCTGCAAATAAAAAGGTATCAGGTATTCATCAATGAAAAGAAATCGTTAGCTGAGTGTATAATAGAATCCATCCAAAATGCTTTTGGACATCCTCTTTTTTCTCTTTGTATCTTACTTGTATATCTTACTAACTCAAATAACTGCAAATAAAAGATCTGACTATAGTAAACTGTATACTGCGGTATGTAAATCATATGTAACCAGAATCAGAATGGGACTGATTGACAACAATAATACTCCATTATAATAGTAGCAAGTAATAATTGACTCTCTGCCACATTGTTTCTATAATAAGTATTTGCTGATTTTGACGTCGAGCATTCTTATAATCTTTTTGAGATATTTTTTATTATGATTTTATAACAAGCCAAAGTTTGTGTTTACCGTTCTTAGAATGCACAGGGCATAATTATGATTAAGTATATTGAAAAAAATTAAATCAAGAACGGAACAATATTATTCCGTATTTATTTGGTTCATTTTCATCTATTAATATTTTCTTATCTTGCACACTTTTTACTAAGCAATCATTCTTTGAAGTAAGCTACCCACCGCTTTGATTCACAAAAAGCCATAAATATGTTCAGTAAAACTCATATATGGAGTACAGATGCAATATCTTTGCTATCTTTCTGACCAAATTTCATCGAATTTTCTCAATACATCAGTTAGGAATCGATATTATTGACCCAAATAATTGCAAACAGATGGCCTTTGTAGTAATACCCGTTTTTAAGCAGTTCTGTTTTCTTTCGGATACATTTTGTATAAGAATATAAGCTTTCGGTTTTGTAATCAATGGGGTAATGAACCCTCATCTTATATAACGTAGATCGCATAATCCATAATAATGATTTAAAAGAAAATTTGAAGATCTAACATATATTCACCTCAATTGCTAATATGCTTTTTAAGAATTATCATTGTAGTTCATATTTACATCAATATCTCTATTTCTCTCATATCAAAAAATAAATACTAATTAATATTTTCCAATTGGAGCTACTACCCCGCTAAAACAGGAATTACATATCATATCACGTCAGTGTTACGTTTTGTCTGTTGGTACTACGCAGCGGAAAGCTCGAGAGCAAAATAGTCGCTTTGAAAGAGGGGTAGTCTCTTGTCCTCAAACTAAAAAAAAATGAAAAATCGTTGAAATTTCCTATTGTCAACAGAGAACCTACAATATGATCAAAACTAGCCAGTTTTTTTTTTCATTTTTTTAACTATATTGTGAAGTATGTAGCGATGTATGTAGCAGCTCATGTCTGTTCTTTGCTAATACCAAAATATACATTATAGTCGCAATGCTTTGCTCCGGTGGAAGCCCAGAATCCTGTTAGTTTCAATGTCATTAATGTTCTTTTTAAATTCTTATTGATTTACGGAAGTGAAAATGATTATAGAGGTTGCAATTTGATTGATACCGGGTTTCGTGCAATTAATAGTTTGTTGCTTTGAAAACCAGGTATATATAATACAATTGGACATCATATTTAAAAATATTGAGGTATACCTATTTACTGAATATTGAAACTCATGCGCACAAAATGTTAGGATTTAACTGTTAGATTGTTGTGATTACAACGGCAAGTAATTTCAATACAAGATAAGAAACACATATCGATGGTTGATCCCCATGACACCTCGGAAGTAGGTTCATTGTGGTATTACTGCACGCAACATATATTCTTTAAAACAGCGAATTATATTAAGTATTAAGTATACACTAGAAATATATTTTTTTATTTGACATTTGCAATTGAATTTTATTACAATTTTGTTGTCCACTGTTATCCACTATTGTCCACAGTTATCCACCCATACAAACCGATTAATGTCATATACCATAAAACTATAATACAAAAATTAATAAAAAAAGTTTCTCATACTCAAAAACAAAAATCGTCTGAAAATGAAAGTTAGTATACACATTCATTTCCGCTACGTGTTGCTTTTAGGACACATCACCGTCTGTCCATCCCAGTGGCTGTACAATTGCTTATTTGGAAGAAAGATGTAAAAAGGTTAAGGACGTCCAACACTGTAATTAACTTTCTATTTCTTGTAAAAATGCACACAAACTTTCTTCTTATATTTGGAATGATTTAAATAATTAATTACTAATTAATTACATTAATTAATTAATAAATTTACGTTGAAAATAATGATTTGTGTAAAATCACAAAATAAAATATGAATCTGGTAAGGTTCACGAATATTTCTGCAATCAATTATTTATAATTAAATATTTTCCATAGTAAATAAATAAATGGAAATAAATTATAATTTATTTGTACACTTACTATATTATTATGAAGAGATTTCGAAAAGTAGTGAACTACGACAACAAAAATTATTTTTATATTATTTTAATTAAATGAATTTTTGATTGATCATATAGCTGCTTCGCGTATTGCCAAATACCCATCATCAGTTGTCTTGGAATCAATTCTAATATTTAATTATTCATAAAAAATATTTTTAAACTGCAAGTACCAAAGGTTGAACTCGTACCTAACCAAGTTTGAAGCTCAGAGTCAGTGTTCATTAGCCAACTGACCTAAAGTCGTACTTGACTTGTATATCGAAGTTGGAGATTTTTGTTAAGTTGCTGTAAAAGTTCAACAACCAATTCATGTTAGTCATACCTAGGTTATTATGTATATAGTAAAAGTATAGTAAATAAAAGCTGCATATTATTAATTTGAAATTAAAACAAAAGGCTTATAAGACACCAGTATAGGTATGGCATATTTTCATTTAAAAATAATTATGTAGAAATGATTTCGTTCAATGTTATTTTAAAGTTAAGTTCTTGAGACCAAATTTTGGTTACTCATCCATATATATAGTACACCAATAATTAAATATCAATATCTCACCTTAACCAATATCGCATGAAGAATATTTATGCCAAATCATTCCTGTAGAATGACCTATCGACAAGCACATAAGTCCACAGCAAGCACAATACTAGCCTTAGTGAGCCACACGAAACGAAGACCCCCTGAAAGCATATGGCGGAAATAATATCTTATTATAAAAAAATTGCCCATGAGATATTAACACTTAATCCTAAATGTGAAGGATTTTGATAACGACTGTATCCGAATGAACAAAGACTTTACAAGAACAGAACTTCTTTGATATTTTATATGAACTTTTTTGGTGTAAATAAGCTTTTAAAAAAAATTTAAGATTTTATTCATTGGAAATGTTTTTGTTTAACTTCTTTTGCAATAACCCAAATTATTTCTTGTACCGAATTGTCAACGTTATTTTCTCCTCAATTGTATATCTCCAACGTACATATTTAAGATGCTTTCCACATCCTTAAAACGATGCTTACTCAGCTGGTCAGCTTTAAAATTTACCTATGGTACGACAGGGGACCTATGTGGCAGCTAAGCAAGCTCGTTTTTATCTAAAAGGGGAAATACTCGTTGTAATTATTTGTTTATTTTAATTACATAGTTAAGTACATTAAGCAAATGTAGTTTAAATGATGCTGTAGGTTTTAATTTTTTTTTTTAAATATAAAAATACTTTTATATAAGCACCAATGTCATGGACCCCATGACATACCGGCCCGCATACCGGTACTTGTGAAATGCAGCACTAGCAAACATTTTATTTATAGTAATTAAATATTAGTTTTACTAAATAAAACAAATAATTTATAAATTTTTTTTCGAAATACATGTACTAATATATTTCTCTCAATATTAAATTTCAGTATTCCAGCTGGGATGATAAACGTATTTGTGATTTTGCTAACATAAAAGTTAAATGTATGGATCCAAATAATCGTCGAGTCCGTATTATAAATACAACCGAGCTTCAGCAATTATCACAAGAGGCAACTGAAAAAGCAGAAGCCGAAAATTCAGATAATGAAGAAGGCTACAAAAAACCACAAGATGCTAGCAAGACACAGGGTGAAGTTGAGATTAATAGTGACGATAGCGATTATGAGGAATCAGCTCCAACAAATATACCGATTAAGACTGCAAGAACTACTGTCGCCAATACTGGTGCTGGGATAAATATAAAAATATTGGCACCACTCAACCAGCAAATGGCAAACAAGGATATGAAGCACAACGACAACACAGACGAAAATGATAATGACGAAGAAGTAGAAGAAGAAATTGAAGAGGAAGATGACGACGATGATGGTGACATCGAAGATAACGATGATGCAGATATTGAAGATGAAGACGAAGACGACGATGACAATTAATAGAATTTTTTAATATTAATTGCAACAGTGTGTGTTTTTTATCAGAAAAAAATAATAATTCAAAAACAAATTAATTGTATTTAATCGTATAAAATATAGATGTATGTGTAAGTGCTAAAAATCAGTCCAAAGTCCGTAAGTCTGTCTGTTTAAGAAAAGCTTTACCAAATAACTACTACAAAAGCACTATCAAGCTAGTGTATATGTCGGATGTTTTTGAACTAATAAGGTACGAGAGCTATAATGTTATTTTAGATATACTACTTTATGTCTAAGTCAGTAATAATACGGGCTTGTATCTTTTTTACTTAATCCGCTCACTGTTTAGTGAGTCCAACTATTGCCTGTTATAGTTCGTAGTTGTTATCCATATAAAGTTTCGTTTCATTTCCGTGGTATTACTTATTATAAGCATAAGACTTCGAAAGGTTGTTAGTTTTGGACCCAAAAACAAAACTATTGAAACATCTAAAAACTAAATAAATCTAAGACCACTCTAGTGTTTTAGAGTATTGTACGGCTACAACACCGGAAATATTTTTATTGTAGCACGAATTTTTAAATCACCAACATATTTAGAAATGTAATGAAATTTGGGAAATTGAGTTGAGAGTTGGCTTAAGTTGGAAGATGTGATCTACCTATGATTTAGTGACGGAACTAACGGACTTATTTGGAACAGCGGAATACGTTCTTTTACTGTCTTAACTCAAGTCGTATAGATGTACATTAGATATAGATTCTTACTATAATTATACTATTATTTTATCTTTGTTTTGATTTCCCGGTTCGAAACTAAAGTGAACAGTATTACGAGAAAATTGTTGTAGGAGAGGTCCTTGAGTCGAGTCATTGCTCTACATGAGGCTGTTAAGTTAAACATTAAATAAGTTTTAAAAACGCGAAAAAAGTAAAAAGGCTCAAAGATTTTGTATTTTAAAATAAATCAAAAACAAAATGGAAAAACAAATGGTCAAAAAAATTTTAGGCTTTATTTACAAATAAACTGAAAAATTATTAAAATTAGTGAGAAGAGAAAATATTTTAGCATTATTCTAAGATGTAAGGATTTTGTAAAAATGTAAAACTTAAAGAAAGTTGCCAAATTATTTTTAAAAAATAACTATAACTATAACATTTATTTTACTAAAAGTTGTTTTATTGTTTTAATTAAATTTATTTATATTTAAAATATTTTCATACATTTATTTGCTTACTAAGATGCTCATAAGAATTTTTGAAAAAGAAAAAAGAAAACAAAATATAAAATAGTCAACAATTAATTTTAAACTTTGCATGCATATTTACAAATAAAAATATATCAATGTCCATTAAAGTGTGAAAATAAAAAAAAAAACATAATAAAAACAATTAATCAAAACCAAATTTGAATGAAAATGATACTAAATTCACAACAATTCAAGATTTTTGAAAACTTATCTTTACTAAAAATAATAATTAACAATTTTGAAAAGAGAAAAAACCTAAACGATTATAAATAAATGAGTGTATTTAAATGTATAATTTTGTTTTTTGTAATTTTGCGCTTTATTCTGAAGTATTATGAAGTATTATGAATTTTCCATAATCCTCTTATTTCAAACTATATTTTTATCGGAATCACCGGTAAAGCGTTCACAAATGAAATGACGACGATATTTACATTGAGTATCGTTCCATTTACCCAACTCACGAAAGCCCATCTCCACACAGTGTTCGTTTTTCTGCCAATTATCGGGCATACCGGGTAACCAGTTTGTATACTTAAACGCTTCACCAGTCGATGCCCAAACAAAATTACCACGAGAATCGTTGTCGTTGCCTGATGTCCAATAAATAAATCTATTATCAATCTCAGGACGATCTATAAAGCCTGTGAAATAGAATTAAAAACATGAGTATTGACTAAGTCTACGGTACGGTTACACTATCACTCCACAAACATACAGTAATAAGTGCAACTTTTACTACAAAACACACACAAAGGTCTAATCATTGCCTTCGATCATTTACATAGATTTTGTTTCAAAGATAAGATATCCCTATGTTAATATACAACTGTCAAGTTTATTCAAAAAATGAAAACGTACTACTTATTATGTTATATGTACGGTATATGAATTAAATGAGATATTACACCGCCTTTGCTTCATTGTTGACTTGGTAACTTGGTGCCTTGGTGACACAAAGTGTAGGGCTTAGGCCAAATCTAATATATAATAACATAATCTACAGAAATAACAAGCAGTCTGATGGAAATCAAATTAATTCTTGGTTTGTCTTTATATATAACACATCGGACTTTTGTCGATATGCATACAAATATCATTCTGATTCCAGTCGTAGAAGTAAAACCAACAAACCATTGAATACAAGATTAAAAAAAATCAAAAAAAAAAAAAACTTTAATGTAAACAATCAAGATAATTACTTTAGCATTTTTTTTTTGTGGTGAGGAGGTAGAATACTTTATGCACCATCAGACCGACCATTGTCGGAATGGTGTGCCCGATAGGGATATGTAGTATACTATATGTATACTACATGTAGTATACTGATATGTGGTATACAAATTAAAACATCCCCTTTTCGGCGAGACTTATTACTTCTCGAAACCTTTTTCCCATTACTTCGAAGAGGGTCCCTTTTATGCGTTCTCACAGTCTCTGTCGCCATAAATGCAGTCGGGTAGATTCACTTTTCCCATGTAATTACAAAAGAACCCATGTCCGGTCAGCGTTTGAGTGAGACAGTCATTTATGTCTCCCGATTTCTGTTTAAGCTAGGTGATTACATTTGGTATTAGTCTAGCCTATTAGTCTATTAGTCTATCTTCCTTGAGTGCTATTGTTCTCCTGCCATTTGTTGAGTATAGTAGTCGGTTATTTTCTTATTGTATACTCTTTGGCGCTCCTTTGTTTGAAAATTAATTTGAGATACACCTACAGTAATTGTTATTATAATTCATCAAGTGAACTGTTAAAAACCTTTAACAATAATATTTTTCTAATAGAATCCCCCCTTAACACAATCCTCTAATTAATATTAGTTATAGTTTAGTAAATTGTTTAACAACTTTAAAATAAAATATTTTGTAGTGTAATCCCCCTTTAAAACACTCCTGGCCACCCCACAGAAAAATACGAATGGAAGAAATATATGTATATTTCTATGATTATTCCACTATAAAGCATTTTCCATAGTATATGCTTATACAGATGCTACATTACTTAATTTATTAAACCATTTTTGGATTTAGATTTGGATTTGGAGTTAAACCAGAAAATTTCATTCAGATTTCGTACCGAACCAAAGGAACTTAGAATGAACTATGCTTCACCGATTGAATCTATCTGACTTAAGCAAAGGTTTTAATAATAAATAATATATAATATTATTTATATATAAATAAATAACAGTATTTTCCCCAATTTCTTTGTGTATGTTGTATCATTGAAATCATGCAAAGAGCTAGCAGTTTGGAAAAGTGGTCTATTCCGAGTATTGTTTTTGTTACTGAGATCTTGAAAATTATAAGTTTTTAAGGCATACATTAAGGTGAGTATGTTTTATTTCTTTATTTTCTTTCTAAACTAAAGTGACAATGACTAACTTTCTTTCTATCATAACTAGCCAGGGATTCAAAACAAACTTAAGAAATATCCTAAAAAATTTGTCTACCCTATATTCCAAAAATGTACCTAGCAGAAATGAAAATCTAACCATTTACATAAAAAAATATTTTTTGAGCCACTAAACTAAACTTTACGTAGTCAAGAATTAATCTATGGACTTTATTTTTCACTATATTATTTGTGTCTATTTTAATTATTTGAGTCATAATTTATATATTACCTACCAAGTTTCTCTAATTGTTCGTTCAGTTTCATCTGTTTTTCCTCTGACTCTATGGTTAACAACTGCATATCGTTATTTGCACAGAATTTTAACGCCTCCTTCCATGGAAACTATATAAACATAATGAAAAAAAACACCATTCTTTATATGTAATATTTAGTATATGTATTTTGAGAATACTGGTTAATATAATTATTGAACTGTTTATTATGTAAATAAAACTAATGTATATTGTAAGTTCCTTTAAAAATAGTTTTTTGTAGTAAGGTCAACTATTAGTAATAGTCTACGAGTATTACCAATTCTCAATAACATCAACCTGACTATAAGCTGAATTGAGATAATTTTTTGTATAAGAGCAATACCTTTTCTACCTTGAACATCTATGATATGTTGTATAATTTCTTTTTTATATCAGGTTCTACTTTATGCAATTAGTCTTTACACTCTTTCCAAGTGGTCCATAGCTTATAGAAGACACACTGAAACATTGAAAGGTGGTCTGATTCTTGCTTTTTCTTTCTTTCTTCTCTTCATCCTTCTTTATAGTAATTACTTTATTGCATTATTGAAATTACTGCGAGCGAAAAATTGATTTTTAATGGTGAACCAGTGAAAACGGTACAGCAATACAAATACCCAGAACTGAGGGTGAGAAATATAGGGATCAAAGGACAATTTAAATACACTCTGAGCAGCTTTCCAAAACGATTTTTCAAGATGTACGCAAAGCAGTTTAGTCATGTGGGCTTTATGGCTGCAGGGCGGAAATATCTCTCACGGTGAAGAACAGCTATTTTGCAAAAAGAATATTGAACGTACCTCCAGCTCAAAAAGTACCCGGATTTTATGAATAAAACACACAAATTTAAATTTTATTCCAAATTTATTTTATCTCTTTCAATAAGCTCCTTCTGAAGCGATACACATATGCTAACGCTTAACCCAATCTTCCATACACTTTTCGTAGGCCTGTGAAGGTATGGCTTTTAGTTCCTTCAACGAATTCTCTTTTACCGATTCAATCGACTCAAAACACTTACCACGAAGGGGCAATTTGAGTTTCGGGAACAGGAAAAAGTCGCACGGATCCAGATCTGGCGAATATGGTGTCTGAGCGATGACAGTGGTGTTGACAGCCGTGTTTGGTCAAAAAATCGCGTAGAACAAGAATTTTCCATAGTAAAAATCGCTAAATGCACTTGAGGTATTGAGGTAGTCTCACATTAACAGCTGCTGTAAACAAACTAATTAACAGATGGCGCTCAAATTTGTACCATATGTCAAGAAAGGGTGTGCCAACATACCAAAAAAATTTTTGAAAAGGGTCTATTACTTAAGGAGTAGTTAACAAACAACAAAATCCGGTTACTTTTTGAGCATAAGGTAGACAGTTGCACCTTAAATTGATATAGTATTAAATATAGAAAAGCTAATAAAAGAAGAATATTTATGTTACAACAGTAACTCGGTGATTATCGACTGCAGTATTTGTTCGCTTCACATGTCAAGCAAAATGGCACCGCTTGTTACCAAAATCAAGGGAAAGCTTTCATTTCTGAGTTATTGCTCAGATGCTTACTATGTGTATTTGATTTATAAGGCAAACTGTATTGAACTACTTGCTGCCGAAAATATTAAAAAACGCAAGAAATCGCGAAGTCCGCGTATATAAACATCTTGACTTGGATCTGGTATTGTCATACTATAACGTTACCTAAGATCTCATGGTTGAAATTTAAAAATATATTTTTTTACAAGGCAATTATATATTCTGACCTATTAGGCTATCCAACTGATCTTAAATTAGTTTAAAATTTACATTTATTAATTATTTAATTTAATTCAATTAAACTGACAAGTAATTATCTTTGGATGATATTATAAAAAGTTTTATACTTACTTTTGTCTGATTCCAGACTAAAAACTCAGTATCACCTATTCGAAATTGTGGTGCCGAATCTGCAAAATTATTTTTTTGTCATTAATTTTTTTATTTTATTCATGAATTAATGAATTATTATTTATAATTCAGAAAATTATTATTATTAAAATTATTGTTTATAATTTAATGAATTATTTATAATGACAGAAAATTATTCAAATTAAATGACCATAGTTTTTCAACAATAATTTCACAAAATATTTCTAGTTCGATCTATTAATCGTAGTTCATTAAACGATTTCAAATTTTCAGTAAGAACCTGGCACCTCCACATTGTATAAAGCTTTTTACTAACAGCGTGATTTGAGGATTTTGAGTCAATACTGCTTGAGAAATAATATTATAGGTTTCACGTAAAGTGTGACCGATTTGACTATACTTCCGTTGTTTTACTTCAATATTAATGTTGTGTGATATTCTGACATCTGCGATATTTCATCGGTTGATTTAAAATGCCGTACCATTAGTTGAACTTACGTATAGGGATTCCTTTGTATTGATATTGATTTTTAGTCCAGGTTCTACTAGCAACACGTTTTCATCTGCATATCCTTTAAACACTCGTTTAATCGCCAGGTGGTTTTTTATTGGTACTAACAAAGATTTCCTGGAACCCATTAAACAAAACAATAAATAATATTACCAAAAATATACATCCTTGTCTAACACCTGAGGTAGAATCAATGGCTCTACTTTATTGTTCATTATATACTACTTCACATCTAGCATCCTACAAATTGTGTAGATGATATTCATAATTTTCTGAAAAATTGTGATCGCTTTCTAGCGCCCTCGAAATACAACTCTTATAACGAAGACAATTATAATGTATACAATGTTGAATTTATCAAGAAAATTGAATGAATGAATAAATATAAAATACACACATATAATAGAAATTAGAAAATTTTAATACTGGTAATATCGATATCCTAATGTAAAGTTAAGCAAAACAGGTAGCTTACCATAATTTTATTGTGTATTTGTGCCGCATTTCTTGAGAAACAATCTGGTATTATTATTTATTACTTATTTACAAAACTTATTGAATTCAGGGATAGAGCCCTTAAATTATTTGCGAAAACTGACAGATTTACCAACACTGCGTTATCGAATCTCAGAATGGTTACAGCTCCTCGGGGAGGTATGCAGATCTGAGGTTAATTATTGCTTAGTCTGATGAAGTGATAAACAATAATCCAGTGTAGGCGTAAAGAGGAGTTTTGAAGATACCTCGAATTAATAAAGAGTAAAAGTACTCAAGTGCACTGGTTCATATAGCTTCAACATAAATACTATAGTATTTACTTGGATAAATAATTATAATCTTTCATTAATGACGCACTTAGAATTATATAGTAATCCTTCACATTGATCTGACTTATATGTGTATTATATACATTTCATTTTTTTTAAGTTTTATAAATATTATTCGATATTTAATTAAATGATTATATTTTTGTTTTTCTCAATTAGTCTGTTAAAAAAATATACATTTTTTCCTATAGTTTTCTGCTATGAAGAAATACTTTACTGGTGACAATATGGTGTTGATTCGAAGAACTAGATGTGTTATAAAGAGTTAGGTCTGATTATCTGTAGAAAACATTAGGATCCATGTTAGGCATCAGTACTCTATTTATTTATTTATATATATTTTAATATCTTTTGCTTATAAAAATTTTATAATTTTTTGTTATTTTAATTATTGTACTTTATTTACTGCAATTCCAATTTTACAATTTCAATTAATGTTTTATTTTTAATGAAAGAATTAATCTGCCATGGACTAAATATGAACAAGTCTCTTTTATTTCCCTTAAAAGATATTCTTAATATAAATAATTCACATTATGAATTATCATTGATCTTATGTTGAAAGTATTTAATGATACACTATTTTATATTATTTAAAAGTGTTACTGATATTAACTCACTGGTTGCGGACTGCGCATCTATAAGCACCAAACACTTGATTATGAGTAAAATTATAGCAAAGAACTTTATCGATAAACACGAAAGCATGTTTGCTTCTGTTTAAATACGAGTTTGTTCGAAAACTAAAAAATTTTGTGTTTAAGTTCTTTATATTTATATGTCTAAAGTTCCAAAAATTATAAACGAATGCCTAACAAAACCCAAACCTTTGACAGAAGTTATATATACATTAGAGTCTTAGTTATCAGGTCTCATATTTTGTATCACACATCATTTTTAAGAGAAAATAAAAAGGTTTAAATTTAGAAACTGATTACGAAGCATTTTAAACATATATTACTAGCTAGAATCATGCTAATTCTCATAATATAGTGGTACAGATAATTAATCATCTTAATGAACAAACGTTTTCATATGAAAATATAATAAACAAACGCTTTCATTTAAAAATATATTTTTAAAGTTTTTATTAGTGTTGGCGAAAAAGCTACGCTTTCTTTATAATGACAAAGAGGCTACATTTTAAAATTTAGAAGGGTTTGAATAGAAATAAAAAGACAACAACAAAAATTATAGTTAATTTATTGAAATTTGGATGACCATACAATGCTACTTCGAGTATTGCCAAGTACTCATCATCAGTGGTCTTTGGAAATAATCGTATATAATTAGTTTATAGTCCATACATAATTATTTGTGTTTCCAAATAAAGCTGTAGTTTATAAGCTCGTTCTAATTTAAAGCTCGGCAAGTGCTTTGGTTAGTGTCACTAATTAAATAAAAAAGTGACAAAAAACCTGGGACTAGAGCACTGAAAGTTTGTGCAGCCTTATCTGCTTGTGGATAAACACGATAAGTGATTAGTGATTAATGACTATAAGCTAATTAAAACATTCGATTATTTCCTAAGACCACTGATGATGAGTACTTGGCAATACTCGAAACAGCGTTGTATGCTCAACCAAATTTCAATAAATTAACTATAATTTTTGTTGTTGTCTTTTTATTTCTATTCAAACCCTTCTAAATTTTAAAATAAAGCTTCTTTGTCATTAGACAGAAAGCGTAGCTTTTTCGCCAACACTAATAAAATCTTTAAATATATATTTTCATATGAAAGCTGTTGTCAGCTTTATTAAAGCTGATTAATTATTTGTACCACTATATTATGAGAACTAGCATGATTCTAGCTAGTAATAGTCACGAAATATTCTTACACAAATCTATCATTTTAAAGTTATATAAAATATATATATTAAGCTATGCTTCTTGGTCACTTGACATAAGAAAATTTGTTGTATTTTGAGATAAACTAATTTTGATTAAACCACATTTTTTAATTTAAAGAGCACATAAACACATTTTTATCAATAGCTTTGCACATAAACATATTTTTTTCATTTAATTATTTATCAAAAATTTAAAAATAATTCAAATTGACGAAAACAAAAAAAAATTAATATATTTTTACTACATTAACTTTCCTCAGCAAACAATACAATAATTTGTTTTTGTATATCACCAACGTCTGAAATATAAATACAAGTAAAAGTTAACATTGAGAACACGTTCAGGTCTCAAAGATATTTCCTGATTCTTCGTACCTTAACATATTTAATTGCATACTGACTATCGCTAGCAGTGTTGCTATCTTCGTTCATTTATTTTTGTTAATCTGATTCCTGACATTCTAACAATATATATTATTAGGTTCTATGGTCTATAAATTTTCCCTACACTCAGTAGTTAAAACATAAGAGTATATACTCGTATTCCATATATGCAAAAATGTATATCAAAGAAGTTTCAAAATGTGTAAAATCCTATATTATATTAAATTAATATAGAAACAGTATAACACTTGACTTTATAAAAATATGGTATGGATCCTCAAAAAGTATTTAACTTTTTCTATAATTCTAGGTTTGTGTGAGCGACAACTTATATGTTAATTTATTGCCACTTGAACACATCTAGAGTCTATTGTCATTATCAAAGTTGACCTTATCATCGTCCTTGCATATCAGTTGTCCTTGAATGAGGTGAGCTAGACCGTACCGTTCTTCCATTATAACTGTGTGCGTTGTCCTTTTTAAGCTACTTGATTATCTAGATGAAAACAAATCTAATAAGTTAATCTTTTTTATTTCTCTTAAACTAATTAAAAAACATTCTGCAAGACATTAAAGTCACTTTGTCTGTAGTATAGACTAAGAAAAAGTTCGATAGATTTCAAGTCTTTCTGATTATTGCAGCACCTACAATAGCGAAGAATAACTATTTTTTTAATATAAATAGTTCTTTCTAACTTTTCAAATTTTAATATTTCGTTTTATATTTGTACTTTGGTTTATTTAATTTATATATGTTTAATGATAAAAATTTGAAAAAAAAAAATGTAGGCATTATGTTTGAAAAAATAAAATTGTATGAGAGATTTTTAATTGCTTTTGAATGAATAAATACTGATGAAGTTCGCAAAAAAAAGAAAATATTTGATAATAATTCTCAACTAATGCGTATTTTAAAATTTGCCGGAACGATAAAAATAATCAACACCCATTAAGTACACAAACTGCAGAATTGCTGGAACCTAAAAGATCTTCAGTTCTTTTCTTATCTAACCTAGGCATTCGTCGCCGCAATAAAAAAACCATTTATGTTTATGTTTCTGAACTGGAATTCCCCTAACATAATTAAGGAACCTGGCGGATATCCCAGACATTAATCTCTAAAAAACATTCGCATTTATCAAACACGTAGGTTGGTTTTAAAAATTAAACAGACTTGGATAGAACATGAAACTCTGCTGCCACTAAAACCAACCAAACTAATCATATTCTCAAACAGTTTTTATAAAAGTATTTATGTTAACTTCAGAGCTGGTCTGACTTCCTTACCTGTTTTTTTTTTATCCAATGATTCAGAAGAATTGTCTGTAGATAAGGACGAGCCTAATGGTTGTCGTATATATGTTATTCTGTAGATTACGCACGATGGCATCTTCATTCTTGACTAAAGTTCCATTCACAGACCCAAGAAGCAAACCAGTCCACTAAAGTCATGTGAAAGCACAAAAAAACCTGTTTTTACATCTTAACTGTTTGTGACACAGGATTCACACAATATAGGTAGTACGAAGGCACCATCTGCATACGGTATAGGAGAATCATACATCATAATTTGCTATAGATTTGTACCAATGAATTTGTGTCATTGGAATATGGGATATATAACAGTGAATATGTAAGTATCCAGTAGAAATGTATGATGTTTGGAGAAATTGCTTCTTAGTGTTATTTTTAATTTCTTTTTCATTCATAAAAATAGTCCTAATATTCCGTATGCATTAAATATATACCTTCTGCTCAAAAAGTACTCGGATTTTGTAAATAAAACACAAATTTAAATTTTATTTTTTATTATTAATTTATTATTTATTATTAATTTATTTATTTTATTTATCTCCTTCAAAATATGCTCCTTTTCATAGGCCTGTGAAGGTATGGCTTTTATTTCCTTCGGCGAATTCTCTTTTACCGATTCAATCGACTCAAAACGCTTACCACGAAGGGACAATTTGAGTTTCGGGAACAGGAAAAAGTCGCACGGCGCCAAATCTGGCGAATATGGTGCCTGAGCGATGACAGTGGTGTTGACAGCCGTGTTTGGTCAAAAAATCGCGTACAACAAGAATTTACCAAAGTAAAAATCGCTAAATGCACTTGAGGTATTGAGGTAGTCTCACATTAACAGCTGCTGTAAACAAACTAATTGACAGATGGCGCTCAAATTTATATCATATGTCAAGAAAGAGTGTACCAACATAACAAAAAAAAAAACAATTTGAAAAAGGTACATTACTTAAGAAGTAGTTAACAAGCATCAAAATCCGGATACTTTTTGAGCAGAAGCTACATAAAAAAGAAATTACAGAAACTAAATAAGTTTAATTCAAATTAAACCATAAATAAAAAAGCACTATTCGTATTCAAAGGAAATGAGTTGTAGGGCAAGAATTCATTATATACCGCTTAAAATCCCTACAGAGTTATTATACATTTGGTGCTCTATCGTTGACATTGGTATATTAGTTCCTCCTATATGAACTTTGGTAAATTTTTTCGCTATATTGGGAACGAATGTCTGGATTACAATGTAAGTCAGAATTTTTGACTTTAACTATATCATTAACTATATATCGTAAAATTTTGTTTTAGAAACGCTGTACTATAGCAATACTGTTTTTGATAGTACCTACCCATTAAATAATTCTTAAACCAAACTGAACTTTCTTATATCTATACATGTACAGATATTTGATAATAATTTATATAAAAGTAGTTCTCTGTTATCACTAATATTTATTATTTTATATATAAACTAGATAACCCGACAAACGTTGTTTTGCCTTATAAATTATTTCTAGTTTCTAGATAAATTCTAGTGTAGACAAAAAGTAACTTACTTATTATAAGTGTGTAAGTATGTAGTATATGCATGAAATAGGCATGGAGCACTATGAACGAAAAGGAAAATAAATATAACAAACGCCAAACAATATTATTTTTAAGTTATTATAGTTTATTTATTAAATTATTAATTTAAAATCAATAGATTTGTATGATACCAAGTTCCCTGGCAACAACTGTTGTAAATAATAATAATGATAATGGGCCAGTAACATTAACCAACAACAGTCGAAGATAAAAGCACTCAGTGTGTCTTGGATTAACTGTAAATAAGCGTTCGATTTAAATAAATTGAGACATGGATCAACTGGTGAAACTTGCTTGCGGGGCATCCATTTTTTTGTTTGAGCCCATGTGAAATAGCGTGGTACTTGTGAATAGAGTAATGTTCTTGCAAAGGCACCAAAATCATCCGTACTATTACACAATTCAAAAAATGCAGTGAGTGTAGATACAGATGATGTGTTCAAGATGGACGGCTAACTGAACAGCTGCTGGATCCCGTTCATGAATTAGAAAACCGAAGATACGCCAAGCAGCTTCATTGGAGCTGATGTACCGACCAATTTGGTAGAGCGTAATTTCACCGTTTTTGTTCATTGGAGGAGCATTTACATTAGTATTTTCTACTCTAAA